CTCACGAGGAAGTTGTAGAGACTGTGAAGAGGTCTCCCCTCAGTCTCCTCTTCTTCAGGCTGAACAGAACAAGTGACCTCAGCTGATTTTGTTAGTTATCTGCCCCTTTAACAGCCTGTATTCAAAATTACCACACTCAGATCCTCCACAATCCATTCCACTGTAACCACTTATATTTTTAAATCCCTATAAATGAACTTCATAGCTACTTGCCATTAGCATTTTCATGTGAGATATCTACAGCCTGACTTTCTTGCAGATAGGCATTTCCAAAACATGCCAAATATACTAGCTAATACACTCCCTGGTATTTCTGGCTATACGAGTCTCTGAGGAGGGTTCTTAATGCTCAGGCTAGAAGGACTTTCTCAAACAAATTGTCAGTGACATTCCAGTGACTAGAGGGCACTGGAAGTAGAAAGATTTGAGACCCCTCCTTTATGTAGGAAAGATGTCACTATGGGATTGTCTTTGGCAGAAGGACCCCTGGCCTCCAGTCTCTCAGGAGAAAGCCTGAATAACTAATCTAGAGATTTTCTTTCCCCGTGGAAGGACCCTTTCACTACAGTCTAGAAACAAATATTTGCACTGTCAACAGATGAATGACATTTTTTCTCTCTTGTTTTTTAATTAAGAAAGGGTAAAATGGAACAAAGGAGAGAATTAAATCTGGCGAAAAATTCTGGAAATGGCATCTCAATAAGCTAGGTCATGCCCACTATGCTGGTTTTTATGAAAAATTGTCCTGCATCCAACCTATGCAACTGACTATCTTGGTTGGGTGGGATAGGGGCAGCCTTGCTGGATTATTTGAAAAAAAATCCAAAAAACCAAAAAAGCCCACAAAAAACCAAAACACAGTTAATTTAGAGGTAAATTCAGTTTTGGAATGGTTAAAAATATTTGTCATCAACATAAAAAAATTCAAATCCCCTTGGTTTTTTATATCAGAATTGTATTCTACATGATATTTAATATATTAAAATATTGGAAAAAGAAACTAAGTGAAAAAATGTCTCTGATCTGAACTAAAAAAAAAAGGTAGAAAGTAGCTGTATTTCTGCTTTCAGCACTCTCTTTTAATTCTTTTATTTTATTTATCTATTTTTATTTCTTTTATTCTACTATAGCATAAGTAGCAGAGGTGCACTGAATATATACAACATGGATTATTAACTAAAACACTTTCTGAAAAAGAAATTACTGTGAGGATAGCCCTGACAAGTCCAGGGAGGAGGTTGAAGGCACTGTCATAGCCCTTCTCTATGCAGATGATCCAGCATCTCAGTTTTCCACCAGAAGTATTCCAACATGGTCATTTGCATCAGGGGAAATTCAACTTTCAGGGAACATCAAGAGGCACATTATAATATTGTGACTTGATGAAGAAAAACAGGATTCGTCCTTCCCACCACGCAGCTCAGCTGACACCCTCTAGAGGACAAACCTAATGAACTTGAAAATTGAGTTAGTTTGTTTCTCAGGAATTAATGTGACCGTTGGCTTCCATCCAAATTCCATTTCACTGTTGATGTGTTTTTAATTTTTATGTTGTTTGGCTTTATAACATACCACACATAAAAATAATAGGTATTTGTTTTCTCATTCTTTAATTTTAATATTTAATATTAAGCTATATAGGGATCCAATAAGTAGAAGAATTTTTAAAAGGTAATTGAAATTAAGTAATGAAATATCCACTGCTTTTTTTTTTTTTTTTCATTGTTTAAACTTCCTTAAAAGAAACTCAGTAAATCAAAATCATTAGGTTAAATACAATGGTTCTATTGACCTAGAACTCTGGCAATGCTAACCAATATTTAATACTCTTAATGCAAATGATGGGATTTTATTTGACTGTTCTCCAAACAGGGCAATTGCCATTTATGTCAGTGTAGGTCCTGTCTGAGTGATGAGGGTTTACCCTCCTCTTTTGAATAATGGCAAGAGTATCCAAGTTTCTTCTTTCCTTCCTTAGCTATTGTACATGCCTGGCAGAGGATTTAGCTGTCTGTTGTATGTTGGTTTGGAAACAGCACTATTAAAACCAGTTTAAAATAAAAAGTAATGAAAAATATCTTTCTCCCTAACAGTGTCTGACTGAATGGCCTTCAGAGAAAAGATATTCCTATTGGAATCTAAGCCATTAACTGCTCCATGAAAAATACCAGTAAGGACAAGAAGTTAATCTAAAATGTTGGTATTTGTTTCCTGCACAGTATAGTTTCTCTTTGCTTGACCAAGCTACTGACAATTGCAAAACTTCCCTCTGCAAAAAACCCATAACCTATCCAAGTCTCGAGGCTGCATAGATAGGAGGGGCAGGGGGTCCATTTACAGGTATCCACCGCTGTGAGGGTGGTCTTAAGTTCCCCTGGCTTCTCTTATACATTTTGGATTTTGAATCCTTTTGATAGGTATAGCAGTGCTGCCAAAAATTTATTAGCCATGAAATTACAAGCAGTCACCTTCAAGATTAGTGCTGAGCTTGAAAGAGCCACCCAAACCCCACGGATTCTGGTTTTCTCAAAGTGAAGCTGAAGTCCAGGTGGAGGAAGTAACCACTTTGGCATCTTTGTCTCCCAGTAGCTTTGGGATTGTTAGGTCCTGTTTACCATCTTTGCATAGCCCATTAAAGGCTGATTTCTAGACATGATGTTACTTCAAGGATCCTATGCTTGATTCTACTTGCCAGGAAATATTCCTATGCAGACAACTGTGAAAGGTTAGTGTTGTGTCAATGATATGTCACTAAACTTGAAGTAAGGAACATTTTGTACTATACATGTATCTCTATTACATCTAAGTGCCAAAGAAAAAGGATATTTGCAAACAATCCCAGTCAATTCTGCAGTATTAGAGTAGGTTGAGTTACCTCAGTAAGACTTCTAAGTACTTCTCATAGCTGTTAGTAATTATGAGATATAGATCTTGAAAACAAACAAAAACAATAAAATTCCTTTCTTTTGAAAAAACTACACTGTGACATAAACTCTATGTAGTTGTATTGGAAGCATACCTCATTTTGTGGTGTTTTTATAAATAACATTAAATTATGCACCAATGATATGCGATGTTTATTTTGGCAACTTCCACTTTCCAAAGCGACTAAGTAAGGTTTTTTTACTTGTAGGTAAAAAAGTTTCCTCTTCTATGGATATTAATAGGTTTTTAGAGGCTGGTGAGAGTAAAGTTCCCTTTCTGTTTCTAATCATAAATTATAACAAATCTGAAGTTTCAAGTGATCAGTAGTGTATTTTCACTGAGTCCTTAATCCTTTAAAAGTTACATTTTATACAAAGGGCATGTGGCTGAATATTTCTTGTGATTTGCTTAAGGAAATCAGTAGTTCCAGTCTTCTGCTTTAGCTACATCTAAGTATGCACAAGTTTCATATACAAAGTTATAGGCAAGGTAAAGGAAACACTAGAATATGTGGAACCAGGCTTTAGGATGCATTACATGGCTGGTAAAGAATGAGTAAATGAATATTTGCAAGTTAATGTCTCATGACTCAGAGACAGTCTGACTACAGTTAACACTGCTATAAGTCAAGAGGAAAGCTTTTGGAATAGCTGGAATTTTTTCAAGTCAGTGCAGAAGCAGCATAAACTAGTAACAACATTTGCCCATAAAAGTATGTGATCAGATACACTAAATAAAATGCAGGCAGCTGTTTACTATATGCACTGACCCATCAGTGAGAATTCCACATGGAAAGAAAGAATGCAGATGAAAGAAACACAGACTGTTATAATAAAGAGGCCAAATATTCAGTTAACTAAGGATTAATATTTGCATTTGCAAGAAATATGTCTGTTGCATTTGCATTTAGAAGAAATATCTCTGTTGTAAATGGATACTAACTACAAAGAGATTAGTGAGAAAACAAGCAAAATATAATAACTCAAATAATTTTTATGGTGTGCATTATGCTTATCAAAAAGAATACATAGCAGACATCCCATTTCTCTTTTTGCTTACCAGGAAATAATCATTGACTCAAATTTTCCATGTAAAACCCAGCTTTTATACCATAATACACAATAAACACTATGACTGAGCCTGCTCTTTTCGGAGTGTTTTGGCATACTACCAAAAGAAGCAAAATCTGAAGAAACCATTACAAAAAAACAGAGAACTAAACCAATGCCAAGATCAGAGAGGGTTTATTGTCAGATCTGTGTCCCTCAGAGAATTGGTGTTGTTTATTAGCATAAGTCATGTTGCTGTCCTGAAGAGGTTCACTTTGGTGCTTATGGTCGGAGTTTATGAAAGCTGAGTCCAGTCTCTGCTTCTTTTTTTCCCCAGTCCCCTCCTGGCACAGCATCTGATTCCTGAAAATCTGAGGGGAATGGTAACAGTGAGAACAACTACTTCTCATTTCTCACACAGCACGGGAGGTGCTTTTCATATGCTGGTGTCCTCAGTCAGAGGGGGAAGAAAGCAAAAACTAGGACTAATATTTCCCACTGTTCTGTGTTCATCACATTAGCCTGCAGCAGACTTGGCCTGGCTTGTGACTACAGAACCTGATCCAAAGCCCACTGAAGTCCCTAAATGTGTGTGCATCAGAACCATGAATATAAACTTTATCAAATAATTTTTAAATAAAGATTTTAAAATGTATAGAAAAACGTTGAGAGAAAAGCAGTCTTTTGGTAGTTTGAGGTTGGGGTTTTTTTTTGGACCAGAGTCTGACCTAAAGCACATTGTGGCAGCATGGTCTTTTCTCAGTACTCTTTGAACCAAACTCTTAAGATATTGTCACAGCAGCATCACTACCATATTATATGATTGCTTCTTTGCACCCTGCACTCACTTGGAAGGTATTCAAAACAAGCCCAAATTTATACCAAAATATTTGCCATGTGTTTCAGATAATGTATAATAAGCTTTGAACACAGCACAACAGATTTAATGACCATCATTTCCTTTTAAACTCATTTACACTTCTCCCTCCTACTTCATTCTCACATTCCTACACCCTCACGCTTTTTGTGACAGCATTGCTTCAGTACCTTCAATAAAACAGCCTCAGCCAGTGAAACAAATACAACCACCTTATGAGGTGTGACTAACTTTGAGTGCAGACTTTGTCCTTTGCTGCTCTTTACAGATGACACAGGAGCCCTTGCTGGCCCTGCAGCTGGGAGTGAGCGAGTGGAACAGAAACATGGCATTCGTCAGCTTTTTGATCCCCTGCTTTGTGATGGGCACTGATATCGCTTTCTCTTGCCAGAATGCTGCCGACTTCGTGGGTGCCAGTTCTCCAGGAGACATTGTTATTGGAGGTTTGTTTGCAGTTCACAGCGAAATGCTGCATACAGAAGAAGATCCCATCAAGCCAGTAATTCAGAATTGTGCTGGGTGAGTAATACTGGAAATTACATATATAACATAGAAGAGATCACTGAAATTGGGCATGTAACTCTTACATTTAAGGTCAACAAATTCTAGTTCTTTTGCTTTTCTTAGTCTTTAAAAATACCTTGGACATCACACAAATTTCACTTAATACAGGACGACAAAAGCATCACAAATTTACAGTGAAAAATACTGTGGCTGCTTAAGGAATGGAATAAGCATTTGATCCTATTTCAATCTTCCTAGATAATCTAGTAGCCTTGGAGGTTTGTGCTGAACAATCATTTAATTTCCATGGAAATATTAACTTACTATAGGTCTGAAGGACTCTGCTGTGCAGCTAATCATTTTTTGTTGAGAATTTGAACGCACATGATTTGAACACAGGCAGACTATTCCATTTTACCTAAGCCAATAGTCAAGTATGCCTCCCACCTCAGAGGGCACATACCTTGCAGATGGATTGTAATTATATTTATAATTACTGTAATTATTAAACTTGGAATTATAATCATGGTATTATGTTATATGATAGACTACTTATGTTATATGATAGACTATGTAAACACCATGTTATGAATGCATTCAGGTTCAGAGTATGCATCAGAATATTCGTTTTGTTGGCTCCAAATCCTGCTGTGCTTGAAACATCCATTTTTCTGGAATGCATAAGAAGGAAACCTGGTGAAGAACTTTAAAAAACAAAGTTTTCCTAAGCCCACGAACCTCAAATATGCACTTTGTTTAATTTAAATACAGGTTCAAATCCTCAAATTTTATTTGAATTTTACATTCATCTTAATCCCACATCTGAACTAATAAACAGAGAGGCATCCATTTCAATTTACAACAAAATGTTGATAAAGTTGATAATTTTGTCAATCTTCCATTATTTCTCTATGGAGTCATAAATCGTCTCAGGTCCATCTGAAATTTAAGTTAGTTCACAGATTTGTAAACTTTAGAGAAGTTTGCCTGAGAGTAGGGTTGGTTATATTACAGACATTTTGTGCTAGCACAGTTGTGGTTAAACATCTGCTTTAATATCCACTGGAGATGACTGAAATAGCTGTACTAACTTCTCCAGGTCCAAAGAGGATTTTAGAAGTATCAATGCAATCACTAGAGACTTCAACCTCTGAAATATTTTCTTCTACTCTGAAATATTTAGTACTTTCTTTGCTTCGTGCATTTAAGTACATACATTCTTTTAGAAGGCTTACTGGGCAGATATAGTAAATCGGAATATTTTAACTGACATCGACAGATACATCTCAAAGATATCACTAGCAAATTTTCATGTGGCATGAAAATTAAATTCTTAGTCTTTTTTTTTTTTTCCAGAAAAACAGGGGGTTTTTTCAGGCATATATTAAGTTCTGTGTTCATTTTCTCTTATCTCCCATTAGGTGAGATAAATATATGGTTTCTAATCTTTTGTACACTAAAACCCAAGAAAATCACACAAAACTTACTACCCATCATTTCTTCTCAATTGTTGTATCCAGCAATGTTTTTCAAAAAAATACCTCCTGTGTTTCCTGACAGCTTTGAAATTCAAGTTTTCCTTCAGACACTTGCAATGATACACGCTATTGAAACAATCAACAATTCAACACTGTTGTCTGGAATTACTCTGGGCTACGAGATATATGACACGTGCGCAGAAGTTACAAAAGCCATGGCATCTGCTCTGAGGTTTCTGTCAAAATTCAATTCTTCTGAGGATGCTGTAGAGTTCAAGTGTAACTACTCAGACTATATCCCGAGAATTAAGGCAGTCATCGGAGCCAGCTACTCGGAGGTGTCGATGGCAGTTTCAAGGTTGTTGGCTTTGCAACTAATCCCACAGGTAGGTTCTAGGGAGTTACATTATTCTGAACAGAGGTTCAAATTTACCTTAGAATAAAGCTGCAGTCCTGATGATAGGAATTGCAAAAGCCACACATTTACTATAGGGCAGGATTTGGCTCAACCTAAGGACATCAGCAGGGGTAGACTTTAGCTCCAAACGGAGGGCTTGATTCACTTGCCAAAACAAAAGTAGTAAAGAATATTTTATATGCCTGAGGCACATGCATCCAAGCGCTCTTTCAGGGTGATGCTGGGCTTTTGTCAGCCTGGCATTGCCATTGGCCAGTCCTATTTGTGCCAGTTACTCCAATGTACCTTGGATGACACTCTAGGACTTTGTTCAGGACACAAGGTTACAGCTGTCATGTCTAGTCTGGCAGGTGGTAAATATGACAATACTCAACCTCAAACAAACAATCAATCAATCAAACAAAAAAGGATACTAAGTCAAATCTGGACAGAAATCTGGGAATCCTCTTCTGCCCAGGAGAAATTAAATGTTAGAGTCAGATAAAACGATAGACAGGGAGTGAGGAAGACTGCTCTAAAACTCCTGTTAGTCCTCAAGCAGTAGAAGAGAAAGAATACAACCATTTGGATCCACGCTGGTCCTTCCCAAAGCATTGTTCTTTATTTCTGACCTCTCTAGGACTGGTACTGCCCCACACTTGTGGCTTTACCAGTGCTTATGTTCCTACTTTCACCATTGTAAAAGAATAAGGGTCAAGGCTGGGACCAACAAGCTAAAAGCAGATAACTTCCACACCATCATGTCTTGCACTTTGGTTTTGCCAATTGATATAAATTAACTCTACAAAGGAGCAATATAGTAGCCAAACACATGGAAAAGGCATAAAATCTGAACAAAGGATAACTTCTAACTGAATCTTCTCCTCTGCAATGGTAGGAAGTAATTCTGACCTCCAACGCCACTACAGGAGCTATATAGTAAGTATGAAAACTAAAGTGCCACACTTGAACATAACCAAAAGGCAAGTGGTATGAAACAAACCTGCATTAGGGCATAGATGGAAAATGGGACCCAGCAGATTTTTCTTTTCAATAGCATCTGTAATCTTTTGACACCAGTAAGATTTGGTATCACCTCCAGACAGGTGACTTTTATTTTGGAAAGGTTAGATTTATTTTTTTAAGAACTGTCAAGAAATGTAGGGAAAAAAGTTCCATCAAATAAATAGAGAAGGATTAAAGCTAGAGAGATTTGAATAACAATGTTCAGTTTATCTTTTTCTAGCTACATTCACAAGAAAAAAAATAATAAATATTTTGTACAAAAGAATTAGAGCATTCTGTAGTATTTTTTACTCTTTGTTTTTCTGGGAGGTTCTTCAAACAGATTTAATGATTCTTTTAATGATTCTTTTAATGTATATAATAATTAAATATTGGAAAGAAAAAATATATAGAGGGGAACCATACTAACACACTCAGTGATAGAAAAATGCTGCAGTATGTAAAAGTACTAGGAATTTGAATAGTAACTCAAAAAACAGTTAATGCTTCCACTGTTTTAAATATTGTTTTGAATAGTATGTTGATAGTATCTGAACAGTTTAAACCAAAATCTTTATACCATCATAACTGTCATATCCATTCTGAAAAGTTTTGTTCTCTGCCTTCACTGAACTATGCAGATGAGAATGAAAAAAAAATGGAATGTGGAATGGGTACTGGGCACAAGTCTGAATCCTAAGAGCAGGGAGAGGAAACTTGCCCCATTTGGCTGTAGCTTGTTGATGCTCACTCGCAGGAGAAGGGAGGTTGGATCAGGCTGGAAGAATGGGCAATTGTGGCAGCTTTGGATATCTTGGGGGAGACCAACTCCGTAACTGAATTGTTCGCTCTTCCTAGGTCAGTCCGGCATCATCAGCTGAAATCCTCAGTGACAAAATCAGGTTTCCTTCTTTCTTCAGGACTATCCCCAGTGATTTTCATCAGACAAGAGCAATGACCCACTTGATCTGTGAATCTGGGTGGAACTGGATTGGAGTAATCGCCACTGACGATGACAATGGGCGGTTTGCTCTGGAGAGCTTTGGGGTCCAGGCCATGGCAAACAATGTTTGCATAGCTTTTAAAGAAATGCTACCAGCCTATCTCTCTGACAGCACCTTTCACAACAAAGTTGATCACGCAATTGAGAAGATTGTCAAGGAAACAAAAGTAAATGTTATTGTTGTCTTTATGAGACAGTTCCATGTGCTCAAACTATTTAAGAAGGCAATTGAGAGGAACGTGAATAAAATCTGGATTGCAAGTGATAACTGGTCAGCTGCAGTCAAAATCAGTACAATTCCCAATATCAAACAGCTGGGAACCATTGTGGGATTTGGATTTAAAAGTGGAGATATGTCCTCATTCCAAGACTTTCTGAGAAACCTCCCTGAAAAGCCTACTGAAACCAACAAGTTTTTACGTGAATATATTATGCTTTTGTCAGTCTGTGCACACTTGGAATATCATGATTTTCAAACGTGCATTTCAAACCAGTCCCAGGATGACCTATTGGAAGATGTTGAGAATAAATATCAGATCTGGAGACATGATTTTTTGAATGCTAACATTGAACCAGGATTTATCCAAAGTACTATACTTGCAGTTTATGCCATAGCTCATGCCATTAAAGGACAATGCAAAACCAGAAACTGCAAGGATCCCTCTGCCTTCACTCCGTGGGAGGTATGATGTTAATTCTTTCAGGTCTCATTATCTCTGCCTAACTTTCGCCTCATTTTTTGCTCCCACATTCCTAGATTTTCTAACTTGGTCTTTTTTCTAAATGATATTTTATTCCTCTTCCTGCCAGAGCAGCAGTATCTAGCTGCTGCAGTGGTAACTACACTGCAGTATTGTGTCCCTTTTTTTGGCTTATGTGTTCTTCTCTAGATACAGATAGCTATTGGATGGTGGTAACTGCACAGCCACCACCTCCTCCTTGATGGGTACAATAGCATGGCTGTAAATATGTGATTCCACAAGTGGAGAAGGGGTCTTGAGCTTCTGGGTTTCATTAGCTACCCTAACACTTCCTCCATCACCTTCAAAGAGCACATAGAGTAGGTGCCAGCTTGAGTGAAGGCTCCACTCTGTAGGCTGCTTACTGGAACATCTTGCTAGCTACTCATGTAGGATGAAATAAAATGTGTAGTCAATCTACAGTTGACTTATCAGCTCTTCAGCTGCTAGTGGTTGGTACTGTTGCTGTAAACCACTGTAATACAAATCTATGAGCACTCGTGAAACATGGGGATACTGCTGGATAGGAGCATTCACCAAAGAGTTTCAACTTTCTCTCTCTCACCATTGTATCTGTTTTGTCTTAATTCAAGTATTTTTCTCTATAATGAATCTCTACTTGAAACTGAAAATGCAACACATTATCAGTTTCATATTGATTTATCCTGAATTGACTGGCTGGAAAATTAGATGTAATCTTTAAGATAGGTGAGGTACTCATTATCACAGTCAACTGGGTGGGAAAAGAAGAGGAAAAATCAGACAAGTAAACCTGACCTGACCTTTTACCCAAGAACCTGCTCAGGAGTATTCACTTTTACACACTTTTACTCTGAGGATTAAACAAATGTTAATTTAAAAGTCAAACAACCACTCTGACTTGCTCTGACCTCTTATCCTAGGTCAGGGCAGGTCAAACCAAGATAGGGGATTTGAAAAAAAAGCCAACAAACCAACCAACCAACAACCCAGTAACAACTGTACTCTTACATGAATTTGTAAATGCAAACGGGACAAATTCATGGCTGCTCTGTAGGAATGCAGTTTTATGGAGATGTATTTACATCATTGTTAAGCTAAATCCCAAACCATCAAAAGTAAAAATCCTTTTAAGTTGTTAAGCACTTGTGAAGAAAACTGAAAGCGATAATTATTTCCCCTGTGCTGTTTTCATTACATATCTCTTCTACGCTACATTTAAACCTTCTAGAAAGGGATAGATAGATAGATAGATAGATAGATAGATAGATAGATAGATAGATAGATAGATAGATAGATAAAGTTTAGGATCCAGCTAATCCACATCACACATCTCTATATACAGAGAAACAACAGAGTGATTGGTGTTACAGACTTCACAAAAATAATCATCAGATGCATCAAAATGTTGCTAAATATTAACCTCTTCCATTTGAAGCTCTAGATATATTCAAAAAGCTATGGTGTCCTCATATTGTTAGAGAAACTGGAAAAGTGGAGAAGAGAAATACTGAAAGACTAGTCTGAGTATATACAATTAAAATAAATCCTGTTCAGTTCCACACAATTATGCAGCATCCAAATCAAATGCACTACTGGTTAGAAACACACCGTTTTTTTCATAAATTACATGAACTCTCAAAAAAATTAGATTATATATGAAAAAGTGGCATGTTATATACAGCAGATGTGTTACACATATTTGGCAAAGCCTTTTGAGGTAATATACCTTTCAGAATGTTTGCTAAATGCTATGAATATCACAAATGGATTCATGTAAGTGCATGCCTTTCAAAAGCAGTTGAACTCAGCCTTTCACCAAAACATTGAATTTTTTCCTTATCAGTTAGTCCCTGGTGCCAAAAAGTCACTAAGCCTGCAAAATAATAAAGCTTTTTTTTAATTAAGAACCATGGTAGCAAATCCCCATGAACTGAGAGTGGGTTATATGTGCCTTAACCTGCCCTTTTCTAGATTCACACAGGCCTTTTTGATCTGGCTTTTTGTGATGAGGGAGGCAGAAATGTTACCCTGTTGAACAGAATCAATTACAATATGAAGATGGACAGTTGCCTTATCAAAACATTCTTGTTTTGGTATTTCCTATGACCTGTCAAATATGGCTTTGCAGTTTATTGCCATTATGCCACTGATCTCTTCATCTGAGAAAACTGGCACATTCTGTTCATTTAACAATTCTGAATCTTCCATTGCCTTACACAAATTCAGTCAGAGTAACAGCTGAGAACAATGCTAGATATTTCCAGACGTACTGGGGGAATTTACTCCGGAAGAAAGTGTTGCCCAGATTGCCTCTGATGACAGTAAAGTAGCAACAGAAGCACCACCTTCCCTTGTCCTTTAAAGGAAGGGGAGTGTCAAAGGACCATTAGTTCTTGCAAGCAAAAATATTTTCTCCTATCGTTATACCAAAATTTACATGGCTGGAAAAAATACTAATCTGAGTACTTGTGCACACTGCATAGAGTTAAGAAAGTATTAATTTTTATTAATAGATTTTTTAAGGTCAACAGGATTGTCTGTTCAATGCAATTCTGTAAACAGCTATAAAGATGAATTTAGATTTTAATACTTCTCTTAGTCCTAAAAGCATTTCTTTTTAACTTGATTTTATCGTACAGATGTTAAACTACTCAGTTTGTCACACTGACATGATACTGATGTATGTTATCATTCCTTATACCTATGTGCAGCTCCTTGAAGAACTTAAAAAAGTTATAATCCTTGATGATGACAAAGAAATCAAGTTTGACTCCAATGGAGATATGAGCACCAGTTATGATGTACTTCTTTGGAAAGAAATTGATGGCCACATGGAAATCACCACTATGGCAGAATATGATGCAGAGAAAGGTGACTTTATCTTTGAGGATGAAGAGAAAAAAAAAGATTTTCTGAATTTAAAGGTAATTTTTAATTTATCAACATAACATGTGAAATTTGTTTCATATAATTTCTTCTCCCTCCAGCATTTGCAACTGAAGAAATTTTTTTTTTTTTTTTTTACGTGAAGACTCATATCTGTTGAGTTTATTGTTCAAAAAGAAAAGAAGATGCTTTGTTGTTTATTTGATCCTGTAAGAGCTGGAATAATCACGGCTACGTGAGTAGACAGTGCCATACATGGCCCCCGCACTGGTGTACACAGAACTAGTGTGTGGGCCTGGACAGTTCCAGCTGGATAATCTGTCATCTGTGCATGGCTGGAGGTCTGAGTTCATGGTGCAGTTCCCCACCAATGGGACAGGGAGAGGCTGCTTTACTAGGTGGGTTGAATTGCAGTCTCAGCATGTGAACATAGCTGAGGACAGAAGAAAACCTCAAATCTTGTCCCTTTTTGTGGTGCAAATGTTCAATATAATTTTCAGATTCTCTTAAAATATATATTAAAAAAAAAAAAAGAGTACAAATTGCGGCATTACTGGAGGTTTATATTAATGTTCCTTAGTGATTTTTTTAATTTGTTTTCTCTTCACTGTACACTGCAGAAGGTTCAGTCAACATGTTCCCAGCACTGCAGGCCAGGCCAGATGAAAAAGGTTACAGAAAGTCCACATACATGCTGTTATGAGTGTGTTTACTGCCCAGAAAACCATTACAGCAATCAAACAGGTAAAGAATTGTGATCCAAATAAAGGTTTATTTAGACATCAATACAATTTTTTTATATATATATAATGTGCCTTGACAACCTTGAGTTTAACTTTGGAATAGGATTTAAATATTTGTTTATGATCAGTTTCCCATAAAACTTGGTATAAATGCTTCTTAGGAGACCAAACTTAAAGCAATTACATTGGCCAGCTAACTAGTATTATCCTTTGCTAGGATGGAAATTCTGGTAGGTTTATCAGTGAGATTTATCTCATTTAAATAAAGTCTTGCCTCCCTGTCTTTCCGTAGTACACCCAGTCCAATAAGGAAGAACTTCTTGACTGTGAGGGTGGTGAGGCACTGGAACAGGTTGCCCAGAGAAGTTGTTGCAGATGCCTCATTTTTGGAAGTGTTCAAGGCCAGGTTGGATGGAGCTACCTGATGTAGTGGAAGGTGTCCCTGGTTTTGGCAGGCGGATTGTAACTAGATGGTCTTTGAAGGTCCCTTCCAGTCCAAACACTTCTATGAGCTTATGCATCTATGAAGTTCAAGAGTTATGTATTTTGCTCGCCAGAATTGTACAGTAATATTTTCTGATATCAAATTTGATGTGCACCTTAACCAGTGGTTCATTTATAGGCTTAAGCAAAAATTTTAGGGGAAAATTAAATATGGAGGAGAGAGATGGAATTAAGAAAATTGTGGTACTGTGTGCTTTCAGTATCCTAAGAGCAGAAGGAAATTAAATTTTACCTTCTTATTCAAGTAACTGTGAAATTTCTCCATGTCAGAGGATTTTCAAAGCAAAAGCACCTTTCAAATCATAAACTAAAGCATTGTTTGTTCTTGTTATTGTATTTCAAAAGCTATCTGCAATGAGATTATGCATGTTAGGTGTTTTCTTGTCAAAATAGACAAATAAAGAAAAATAGATAACATTTTTTGCAAGAGAATTGATTATTTATTGTCAGGTTTTAGTTAAAATTTGCCTGCCCAGAGCTCTGGTCAGGTCACATATTGCTGGTCAGTGATGACCGAGACAGTTTTAGAGCCCTGTTCATTCTCCCTGTCCTCTCCCTGACCCTAGCTGCAGCAAAACCTTGCTCCCAGCTGGCAGGCAGTTCTGCCAGTGCCACCGCAGCCACTGCAGCCCCGCAGCTCCTCCACCTGGACAGCGATAGCAGCAGTTAGAGGCAGTCCGACACGTCTTTTCCTCTTACCACCCCTTCCCACATTGCTCCTGCATCTCAAGGCCCGATAATCCACTTCACAGCTTATTTACTTTAGGTTCCTAAGCTATCTTCCTCTATTTCTGCTTCCAGATATGGATTACTGCTACCGATGCAACAACAAATCCTACTGGGCTCCTATCAACAGTACCACATGCTACAAAAAGACAGTCCATTTCCTCGCCTGGACTGACTGGTTTGCTGTTTTCCTCCTCCTTCTGTCTGCTTTTGGGGTTGTATTGGTTTTGTCAATTTGTGTAATATTTACTAAAAACTTGAATACACCAGTTGTAAAGGCATCTGGTGGTCTGACTGTCTGCTATATTATTCTCTTCAGTCACTTCCTAATTTTTTTAAGCACTATCTTCTTCATAGGCGTACCCACAGAATTCAAATGTAAAACTAGGCAAGCAGTCTTTGGCATAAGTTTTACACTCTGCGTTTCGTGTATTTTAATAAAGTCACTAAAAATTTTACTAGCCTTCAGCTTTGATCCCAAGCTTCAGAATTTCCTGAAATGCATGTATAAACCTATTCCCACTGTGGTCACTTGCACTGGAATTCAAGTTATCATTTGCACCTTCTGGCTAATATTTAGCACACCTTTTGTAAGCCAAAATTTCTCAATTCCAAGAGCAATAATTCTGGAGTGCAATGAGGGGTCTATTGTAGTTTTCGGTATTATGTTGGGCTACATTGCTGCCCTAGCCTTTATTTGCTTCATATTTGCCTTTAAAGGTAGGAAGTTGCCAGAGAACTACAATGAAGCTAAATTCATCACTTTTGGCATGCTAATTTACTTCATAGCATGGATTGTATTTATCCCTGTCTATGCGACTACATTTGGCAAATACTTACCAGCAGTGGAAATCATCGTTGTTTTAATATCCAATTACGGAATCCTCTGCTGCACTTTTCTTCCAAAGTGCTATATCATCATTTACAAGCAAGAAACAAACACAAAATCTGCCTTTCTCAAAATGGTTTACACATATTCCTCTAAAAGTGCAGGTAGTGTTGCTGTTAGTCAGGTTTCTTTGGATTCAAAGTCTTCCAGCTTCCGAGCTCCTATCTCAGACTCATGTAAAACTGACAAACACTCTGTGAATGGAAACTGCCAGTTCCAAGTGCCAGGGCAGTCACTAATAAAAGGCAAGGTTCTTCCTAAAAATGCTGCCAGGAAGAGAGTCTCCAGCATATGACTGTGGTAAACCACTGGAAGATAAAAAGCCATCTTAGAGAGCCATTTATCTTTCAGATCTCTTTCCTTTTGGCATCCCAAGGAGAGCAGGACATGTGAAAATTCTTCTCCTGTACTTAAGCAGTTATCCATTACCAGATCTGAAAGGCTTTTCTGGCTCTGAGAGTCCAGCCCTTGCTCCTGCAGGCTCCATGATGCGCAGTCCCCTTCAGCAGGACCCGTGGGAACCTGTTCTGCAGTCTCCCTTCCTCAAGTGAGGCAGAAACATCACAAAATTATTATTTCTTACAGTCATATAGGTGGGACCATATGAGTTTACTCCACCTCTTTCGCCTCGTATACACAATTGTTTAAGGAGCAATTCTTCTCATCTGGCCCCATTTCACAGATCAAAGAGAGCCTTGTCCCAGCCTTTGTTTGCTAGGATAAACAAGCCGAGTCCTGCAGTCTCCACTTTTAAGATAGGCTTTCCATTCTCCCAAACTTCCAAAAGTAACCTTTTTCACCTGGTATCAGTGAATTTCTCTTTTTTTCCTCCCCATAATTGCACACCTTATTCCAGATGAGTGTTGCAGTAACTTTTAAAGTTCCTTGTATTTATCAGGATGGTACTGAACTGGAGACAGATCTATAAAAGAATTAAAGAATTTCTCTGGAGCTCTGTAGTTATACATATGTTCATCTACCTTTTTTTCCCCATACTCAGAGGAAATATACTGATTCACCTTGTGCACCTCCTCTGATGCACCAGAGGAGAGAGCCTACTGAGTTTGCCCCCAGATGTCCTCTTAGTTGAGAGTGTAAGGACAATATATAATGTCAAAACTTAAAACTCTCATTGATTCCTCTCATTAGAATAAATAACATAATTACCAATATCAGCATGAGTACATTCTGGGAATTTTGGGGGATTGGATAGAAGTTAAAAAAATCTGATTTTCAAAAAGAATATGACAATGCACCGTTACAGTACATAGAAACAGCACAAGATTGAACTGGCATGATCTGCATTGGGTGAGTCTCTGCTCTGTAGCGACTTGAGCATAGCCATGCTGTGCCCTCTGTATGAGAGACAAAAGGCAAGTTCACAGAAGGATGGACTTTTCTGTCAGGGTAGTGGTACCACAGAGCTTTTTCAGACTCTAAACAGCAGAGCTACACTGTTACTCCAGGACCAGGAAAAATTCTTTTCCATATTCCGAAAGCCAGAAACATATTTTAAGTCCTGTGCCAAGTTACTAAATTCCTTGACTTTTGCCCATGCTTCTGTTTTGATCCAGAATAACTGGATGTTGTAGCAGAGCAAAATAAAATTCAGTAGATTTGGTGTTACAGTAGCATTGTTATGTAAAAGATATATCTATTTTTATAAAAATTTTATTTATATGTTATAACCCTTATCCATATTTTTCTACTGATATTTTGTTAAAAATAAAAAATAAATCACATTTCAAAAATGGACATGGGCAATGAAATTATGACACCTAAACTGTGTATGTACTGTGAACCTATGAAGACATTTTAAAGTCATTTCAATGGCAAGAGTGCTATTACATATGGACTTTTGTAATTGCAAACATTCTGTTGCTGGTTGGAGGAATGAAGTTTTATGCGTATACATTTATACGATGAATGCTGTTCATACATCAGTTGTTGCAAATACTTTGCTGGATGTGAAGTTATGTATAATAAGGTTACTGCAATTTGACTACCAATGCAGCAAGAAGTCTCTCCCTAAAAGAAAGAAGCAAAGCTTACATTGCGTGACTGTCAGCAATCAGCTGGTTAGAAAAGTTAATTTAGCTCAAATGTCATACCTGCATTTATTGTTTCCAAAAATGTTGAAGCTCCAAATATCTTGAAGCTATATGAAAGGGAATGATTAAAGCCATATTGTTATTTCAAATTGAGTTTGCTTACTTAATTTCCTCGCCTCTCCACATGATCTTCTGTTTTGGCCTTGAACAACAGCAATACCATACCTGTAAGGTGTTTCCTCTGTAGATCTCAGTCTGCTTCCTAGGAACTTCCTTGAGGTTGAAAGTTGTGTGTGGTACGGCATTCCTCCTACAGGACCCTGAGGAAAGAGGAACAGGGCCTGGTGACAGCAATGTGAAGGTCCCTACTGAGGTATCTTTAAGGAAGGACACCATGTATGGCAGAATTTCAAAGGAGCCCTACTCGCTGCATATAATTCTTCAGCTACTAGGGTCTTGTTCAAAGCACAGTCAACAGTGGAGCTGAGGGTGTGTAATAGGTTTGCGAGCTTGCCTTGGCAGAAAATAGAGACACTATACCAAGCTGTGTTACATGTTTTTAAATGTCTTGTCTGTAAGAAACAACTGATCATATGAAAGTAGAACATAAAGGGATTGTGCTACAGAGGATATGAAAAGGCTTAAAATAGGAGTTCACTATGCTGAAGAAGGATTTGTGCACTGTCACCTGCCCAGAGCAGTAACTATTCCTGTTACCAGTCATGGGGATATGAAATGAGCAAGAAGCAGATTTTCATTCCCTGAGCACAGAACAGAATCACCTTCCAGAGTCATAGCAAAGTCTCAGCAGGATGCTCCCAGAGCCGTAGCCCATAGAGCAGGACATGTGGGGCCAAAGGGGTCAGGTCATTTTTTTCTGGCTCACAGCACACTCTCCTTGTTTACTTTGGAAAGATCCTAAAACTAATTCTCAAAACACTAATATCCCAGGGGCATATTTTCTGTCTCTGAGAGCAATAGAGAGAACAAATGTCCCCAAATACACTGCTGTCCACAGAGAAATTGAATGTGAAAATGGTGTTAGCTGAAGTCAGCAGGAGGCTGCCCTGGACGTAAACACCGTTTAAGCTTTTTGGGTCTCATTCATTGTTAATGATGCTAAATGATGCATTCTGAACCCACTATCACACAATGCACAATACCTTCAGGGAGACTGAAGACGATGAAGGCCACCAAGTATTCAAGTCCTCTTCTCCAGGTCATAATTTCCTCAAGATTTCAGTAGCTCTGGCTGTGGAAATGCCTTTCAGCTGCCCAGAATCTTTAGGATGGTTCTTTGGCGAGAGCAGAAAATTATTTATATGTGTTCCAGGCTTCCTCCCAGAAGCTCTGCTCATGGTCTTTGGAACTACAGTGACTCTAAATGTGTGGTTTACCATCATGAGTAGCAGCTAATAGCAGTGTTTGGTTTGCTGTTCATAATGTATGACACTGAGCATCCCAGGTAAAGTATCGTCCTCTAGGTCATTTCTATCAGTGTATATTCATCTCCTTGACAACATTCCGAAAGAGAGCAGAGCTGCTCAGAGAGTGTATGTGAGTGCACAAAGAAATGCATCTCTTCCTACATGTTATTTTTAGAAGGACATGGGAAAGCTGACATAGAGCCTTGATTCTGGGAGCTAGATTCTTCCATCTAGAGACTGGCTCATTAGCAAACAAAAATTTTGTTCTGAAATAGAATGTGGGAAGATTGATTTATGAATTTTTTTTTTTTTAAGTTGGAATGAGTTAAATAGATTGGAATGGCTTTGATGTTTTACCAACAATAAGGACATACTTTAATGATTTTGGAATAAAACTGTACATGTATAGATAAGAAAACATCAGCATAGGACTACTTACTGAAAAGAAAGTACTTTTTTTAATGTCTTTCCAGAGTCAAATGTTGTTCAAATGACATTTTAAAAAAAGTTCTAATATCAAGGTTGTTAGAACTCACTTTGGTGAAACCAGTTTCTGATTTCCTATACCCAACAATTTGCTTTCAGAAAAAGATGCTTACCTCTGGCTCTGCTCCTGAAAAAAGATAGCTGGAGGTTTTGGCTGCAAACAGTTCAATACTCCTCATTTGTGCTGTCATGCTGAGCACAGGACTGTGTAGCTGTTGCTGGGCAGTGATTCTCCCTGAGGAGCAAGACTTCCTCTGCTCCTCAGCAGTCATTCTGGCTTTGGTTGGTGCACGTAAAATCTTCCACTGTTTGGTGCCTCAGACATAATTCTGTTGAGACCCTGTCTGACACTGTCACTGGTATCATGCTGACATGGGCTGTTGCTTACTAAATATGTATTCTGGGCTGACAATCTTTTTGTTCAAGGATATGTTCATACTGAAATTTATTTGTTTGTGCTTTTTTGTTTTGTTTTGCCTTAGTTGTTTGTTTTTTTTTTTAATAAAGGCTTAAATTGACTAGGACATGAAAGCAAAAAAAGAAAAAAGGTTTTTAATTGAAGTAAAGGGAAAAGTATATGATGAGAATCGATATGTTTGAACCTTCTGAAAGCAGTAAAATGACAGAAGCCTGGACGTGGGCATCTGTGTTACAGAACTTGAATCCACCTTGCTCTGAAACGTAGAATCGTAAAATGGTTTGCATTGGAAGGGACCTTAAAGATCTCTACAGAGTTCTCTACAGGACCTTAAAGAACTCTACAGAGTTCCAGCCCTTCCCTGCCATGGGCAGAGACACCTTCCACTAGACCAGGTTGCTCAATGCCCCATCCCACCCGCCAGGGATGGGTCATCCACAACTTCTCTGGGCAACCTGTGCCAGGGCCTCACCAACCTCACAGGAAAGAATTTCTTCCTAATCTAAACCTACGTTTTTTCAACTTAAAGCCATTACTCCTTGCAAAAGGAGTATAGGAATCACTACATGCCCTTGTACAAAGACTCTCTCCAGCTCTCTTGAGGGCTTCCTTTAGTTATTGGAAGGCTGCTTTAAGGTCTCCTGGGAACTTCTCCAGGCTGAACAACCCCAGCTCTCTCTACCTGTCTTCATGGGAGAGGTACTCCAGCCGTCTGGTCATCTTTGTGGCCCTTCTCTGGACTCACTCCAGCAGGTCCACGTTCTGACACGAAGGTGAACTACTGTGGCTGTTTCTTTAGCCGAATTTTGACTTGAAGGCTGACCTTTCCGCTCCGGACTTGCAGCCCTTGAGCGAGGCAGGTGAGCAGGATGCTTTCTCCGGAGGACCGATCCCCGCCGTGCAGGCGGCCATCCCGCCTCTCCTCGCCTCGCGCCCGGGCGCGGCTGGAAGGGTCCGCGGGGCGGGGCGGGGCCGGGCGGGGCCGGGATAGAGATCGAGACCGGGACTGGGGCCACTCCCGTCGAGGCAGAGGATCCCGTCGAGGCAGAGGGTAGCGCCGCTCCTCGCCGCCCTGGCCATGCTGCCGGCGCTTCTCCGCCCCGGGCGGCTGCTGTCCGCCGCTCCGCTCCGCCCGCCCGCCCCGCGGGGAGCCGCCGCCGCCGGGGAGCCCGCCCGGAGCCCGGGCACAGCCCGCGGTAAGGGGGAAGCGGAGCTGAGGGGCACCGGCTCCGCGGCAGCGCCTCGGGGCTGACGAGGAGATGTGCGGGCGGCCCGGGGCCGGGGCCGAGCGGGGCAGAGCTTCCCGGTGGTGCGGCCCGCGGGTGGCACGGCAGCTCGGGTGGTCTCGAGTGCTCTCCTGCTGGCTCAGGTACCCCGCGGGCGGCGGGGCGTCGAACCAGACCCGCAGGAACACTCATTGCATGCGGGGGTGTCCCCGAGACCCCGCAGAGGTCACTCTGCGTATGCGAGACCTGAAGGTCTAATCCCTGGGTTGCTCTTCCAACGACCAGGACGGTCAGGGTTTTCCTCTTCCACCGCTACTGGCAGATATCATTCACTCTTAGTACATGGTTTGACGAAGTGTTTTTTTCCAAATCTTTAAGCTGAGCAGGCTCACAAGGTGGTTGCAAGTTACAAACCTTCGAAGTTTGACAAAAAAATCCTCATCTGGACTGGACGTTTCAAGACAGAAGAGGAGATTCCTCTGAGAATCCCGTAAGTATACTGCCCTTGTCCGAGGGGAACATGGAGATGAAGGTAAAGCAATGGCCTTGATTCTGATCTACAGCTTTTCTACTGAGTTTAAAACAGTCGGTTTTTCAGCGCTGAAGACTTGGAAACAAATTAGAGGGCAAGAGAATTTCCTGTCCTGGTTAGAGGTTAAGATGAGAAAATGTTCTTTTCTGGAGTCCCCAGAGTCTGGGATAAGAACTGGATCCATCTGAGTAGACAGCCTTGGTTACATTTATGTACTGGCTTGTTTGTTTTGCTTATTCCTAACGTGCAATTGGAGAAGGATGTTATTGGTAAACAATAATTTCTGTTTATAGCTCCCATAAACAGTTCTGAGGGAGCTGGCTGTTACTGAATAATTACATAAATATTTATTATTATCATTATCATTACCATTATTATTGAATTTGAGGAAAACATATGGAAGTAAATTTCAAGAGGAGCATTCCTCACCAAGGAAAATAGAGTACTTAACATAGACTTAATTGCCCATTTTTGTTGACCCGCTGGACTAGATGACCTTTGAAGGTTCCTTCCCACCCAAACCTGACTCTGTGGTTCTTTGACTTGCTGAAAGTTAGCATCGCCCAAAGGAATCAGCCACTAAACACATGAAACCCTTCTAATGCCAATTGCTGCCTTTTCTTAGGATGTTAGTGTGTTAGGCATCTCTCTCCAGGACACTACGTTTTATCATCACAGCACATCCCTGTCTTTGGTGACATGTTGAGAATAAGCAGCATGCAGAGCTGTGTAACACAGGTGCATCCTCTGCCTGCTCCTGTTGGTTCCTGGCAGTTTCACTGTTGTTTGCTGAGCTGGACAGTGGCTTTCTGAACAGTCTAACCTCTCTAGCCTGTGTTAGTCTCATCATCTTCCCCTAGAGAAAGGTTCAGACAGGTCTCAGAAGCTGTAAATGCTATTCAAGTCATCCGTAGGTGTTTATAAAGACACGTTGCATTTGCCAGTCCATACACATACACATACACATACACACAAATCACTCATTTCTGTGCCGTAGCTGGCCTGGCAAGCTCATGTTACCACCTTGTGCTTCCTGGGTGAGTAAAATCTTTTTACAACTGTAAGATCGTAAGTATATACTAGAAGTAGCTAATTGTGCTACATTGAAGCTAAACTGTGACACTGTTTGACTGCTGTTTAAAAGAAAAAAGAATTGCAAGATATTGCTTCCTATGAACACAATCTAGCTGCTGAAGATCGTTTGTACTAAAGAACAAATCTGCAGTCCTTATTCGAGGTTGTTATGTTTTTATTTTGGTGGGTTTTTCTTGCTTGCTTGTTTGTTTGTTTTTAAAAACAGTTGTCACTGACTTCAGCAGAGATTTACCCCGAGTCTTGATTAAGGATTGAGTGGCAAAGGCTGTAATGTGCAATTAGGGAAGAAAATTGTAAGGTCTGTTTTCCTTAAAGCAGAAGAAGTGAAAATCTGCTTCAGAAGAGCTTCAATTAGTGCATTGTGAAATATGATTAGGCTAATACACCACACTAATAACATTTATGCTTTTGCTGCTACAAATGGATTATTGGATTAATAATTTTATGTGCTAGGTCTGACATGTGGTCTGCTTTGAAGATGATTTTTGCCATTGTACAAAACAGAAGCAGTTACTTAGAACTGCAGGCACTGTCAGTCACCTGCAAGGAACACAATGTGCATGTGTGCTCCTGTGTGTCTTGGCAAGGAGGGGGGCAGTACAGCATTGCCATTCCGAGGATTTGCCCTATTCCATTGCGTTAAACCTTAGAGAGAAGCACCACAGACCTCAGCCTTGGTACAGGCTTTCATGGGCAGAACTTCCACTGTAAAACTCCAGCTCTGCCCAATTCCACCACATTAACTCTTTAAAGTAAAGCTAAAGGTTCTTCATGGGAAAGACATCATTACACAATCTTCACTTACATCAAAAAATCAGTTTTTAAAACTTTTTACATATATAGTTGTGGCTTTATACATACATATTTATATTCTTTATCTTACAAATATATCCATCCATCTATACATATATAAAGCATACCCATGATGATTTATGAAAGGAAAATGGTGCACAGCCAGCATTATTATTATGAACATCTTAAAAACATCCTAAAAACCCATTCAACTGTACATGTCTGACTTGGAAAAAAGACTGAAAGTTTTGGGACAATTTCCTGTACTGCTGTTTCTGAGCAGGCTGCTCAGAGCAGAGGAGGGTGGAAATGGGAGCTGCACCAACACAGGTTGCTGGGCTATACACCTCTCTTGCAGCAACTACTGCCATAGGGCAGAAGGTCTCACTACTTCTGCCTTTGATGACCTGCAAAAATAATCATGTAGATTGTTCCTGTGAGAGTGATGTGACTGACATCAGCTGCCCATGAGGCTGCTGCTTTAATAGAAAACTAAAACCTCTAACTCATAGCAGTACAAACTCTGCTTTAATCCAATCCATGTACTTAAGGTCCATAGCCTCCAGGACACCACTTAAACAGCTTAGATATGACAGTAATTGATTTCTAAAGTTAATTTTGGATAAAAGCACTTTGCTTTCATCCCATCAGGTTGACACCACATATACTTCTTCATCTGTTTAAAATAGATTAACCCCTTCATTTTCCCTTGTTTAAACAGAGGTTAAGGTATGATTTCTGGTGTATTCATTTAAATGCAAATATTTATTGCCTGAGCACCTTTTTTCAGCTTAAAAAAAAAAAAAAAAATCAGCCTAAATCCATTAAATGTTGCTTTTCCATGGGAAATGGATTAGGGTCAGAAAATGGGTGGTACGTAACCAACCACAGCAAGCTGAAGATGCTTGTTTCAGAAGCTAATTTTTATTTCAGTTGTGATGTTATGTGTGTGATGCTTTGAAGAATAGATACTTTACTGTTTTGTAATGATTCAATTCAACGACTTTAATTGCAGGCCAGAGATGCTAGACAAGGCAAGAAACAAAGCTCGAGTGAAAGCTTGTTACATCATGATTGGACTCTCAATTGTTGCCTGCTTTGCAGTAATTGCTTCAGCTAAGAAGGTGAGTATGGCCATGTAGCATACTTTCAAATTATGGAATTCTGTGAAAAGTAGACTAACCTGCACCAGGAGCAGCAGCTTACACCTATACAAGTTTTAGCTGACCTGGTCTCTGCCAGCTCACACTGTACAAGTAGTTGCTGTCCCTTCCTGAGGTTGGGTAGCTTTGCTGTAGGTACATTGTTACTCCTACTACCCTACCCTTCAGAAGATGTTTTACTTCCACAGGCTGCTGCAAGGCATGAGTCCCTAACAAGCTGGAACTTGGCGAAGAAGGCCAAGTGGCGGAAGGAGGCTGCGCTAGCCGCGGAGTCAAAGGCAAAGTAACTTCATATGAAATGCCAAATGCCCTTCTAGGAGCCAATTTAACTGTTGCTGAGAGTGATTAGTGAGTGTCACCCATAAATGGACAATAGTATGCACACAGAGTAAGGGTAGTTACGGCATCACAAAAAAAAAAGAGAGGGTCTCTTTTATTAGGGGGATATCTGGTGTAAGTGTTGCATATAGTTAAAACTAGTTAGAATATTTTGCATATGCTTGCTTAAAAGCAGTCATTCATTTTAAAGGAGATGAGGTAGTTTCGTAACAATATCAGGCATCTTTGGTTAGATAATGCCTAGTTTTTCAGCACACAAATCAGCCAGTTTTAACTCACTTGCATCAGTGCTGTAGTCAAAAGGCTTTTTGCTTTTCCAGTTTAAGAAGAACTTATTGAACCACTAAATAAATACAATAAACATCTGTAAAATAGGTTTTATTGGTTTCTGTACGGTATTTGGAGATTTAACATTCCCTAATATTGCATACTACTCATATGTGTTCTGTTACAGTAATGGGCCTTTGGCCTGGATTTAAAGATGCACTATTGTTATCTGAAGTTAATATAGGTTATGTAGTTTCCACACATTATATGAAGACATTGTGCCATAAGTTACTGAAATTTCTCATTTTGGATTTCAGTGAACTCTTAAAAGTCACAGCTGAAGTTCATATATCCATTTTCACACCCATTACAACAATCCTCAGTTGTACAACAATTTAATAATTTTAAACCAACGGAGAAATAACCACAGAGGAAAGACAATAGTGCATCTTTACTATTTTCTTAAAGACAGGTCTAACAATAAATAGTTTCCAGTTGCAAACTTGTTCTACAGCGAACATTTCTGTGCCAACATTATCACTATTTTCTGATTGCTGCTAGCAACAGTGTTTAAAGCAAATACTAGAAAATTAAAAAGCTGTATGAACCAGTCCTTAGACAAAAGTGCAATGACAAAAAAATTAGATATGATTCAGTGTAACAAGAGGAGGGAACTAATAAAAAAAATCTTATGCTCTGCATAGTTGCATAGATTAGCTAGTTAGTATTCACATTTAAACAGAACAAATGGTACCCTTTTAATAAAACCAAAACCCTTTATTTTTAAACAGACTTTGTAACTGATGGGGGACTTCAGATTCCGTATTAGATAGCAAACTTTAAGAGACTTTCATATCAACATTTTATTTTGTTTTTCTCTCCATATCGGTTTCATCTGTTTAGGCAACATCATCATAGTCATGCCCCCACCTGCAAATGAGTACAATAGAGCTGACTTTAAGTCATAATCTCTGATTTTATATTGTTCATTTATGTGCTTTTAACAAAGTATGATGTAAATCCAGTGATAAAATAGGAGAGGCCATCCTGTATATTTATCCTTTAAAGGATTTTCATGATTATTTTTTAACAATTTAAGGGTAAACCAAATGTTGACTTTAAATAATGGTTTTCATTATCCAAAGTTCACTGATTTTAGTTCCCTTTTAAACTGTTCCATTTAAGTGTATCAGAGGCATGAAATACAGTTTATCTAAATGTGTAAAGTACAGTCACTAACTGTTCACACATATAGAATAATACATCCACACAACTGAAGATATTCCTTCCAAACAAGTAGAATACTTTAAATGTCCCCTCTTTTCTTCATTTTCAAGTCTTTCAATCAAGACTTTCAGAGCTCAGATTTGGTTTAAATTAGAGAGGTGTATAAATGTAATTTTTACAGGGTTCTTCAAATAAAAAGCAGGCACAGCTGGTTGTTATCAAAACAAGGTTGTTAGAAACAAAGAAATACCCTGTTACCTGAATAATTTTCTTACACTAGAACAATATTGAAATTCAGCATTTGCTACTAATCTTGGTAGATTTCCATGATTGTTACCCTGTAGTTTGATAGATGGGGGGGTGAAAGGGAGAGCACGTTAAAGAAGGAAGGTTAGTGTATGAAAACCTAAAACTATGAGAGTAAAAAGGGCATAAGTACAATCAATTAACATTATATGAAAGTTTGGCAGCTGTACTCAGTATTATCACACTATTCAAAACTGTTGTATGCTGTACAAATCTAGGTTAAAGTGTCATTTGCTAAAATATCTCATTATTCAGAGTTCATAAAGTAACAGCACTCCTATATACACTTCTTACACTTCTATCTTCCACTAAAAAGACTTCAAAGGGAGGTTTCTTCCCTCCCAGTTATATCTTAGTCAAAACTGACCATAATCTTATAAAATCCACTTCAAGTCCCACATTCAATTACAATATAGAATATATTGCTGTAACATCAAAGTGAAACATCTTAGAATCTTAACTTGCATGTAAAAAAAAATTCTAAATATAAAATGGTACTGTAAATGATACCACCTTTAACCTGTATTTTTCAGTGCATTAAAACATTGTTTAGTGATAAGCACAGTGCCATGGGTGAGTGATTTGAAGTTCAAACTGCAGCTTTTTCTGAAGCATGAAATGCTCTCATACGTCAAGGATTTCACTTAACCCAGGAATTTGATGTTAATACATTAATTACAGGTAAAAAAAATAGCAATACTTCAGAGATAACCCAAAGTATTGATTTCTCCAAACGATAGATACTGCTAATACACGAGAAACACTATTTATATGCAAGTTGAAGCAGAGCATACATTTTTCTGTATTCAAAACTGTTAACATAAAATATTAGAATTCTATTTCTTTTAGTGTTTAACAGCAAACACTGTATATTGTAGAGCCTAAATATTTAGATGACAATAACTTCTAGTTAGTTTTGGTGTCCACATACTTAATGCTATTTACAGTACAACAAACTTTTCCTTCCACTGGAAAGGAGTGATTCACTATTCATTCTTCACTGCAGTATTTCTATTGTCTTACCATAAGAAAACTGAATTCATTAACTTAAGGAACAATTCAAGAGGCGGTAACATATTTGGTCAAAAAACAACACCTACTGTCTAAACTTTTAAGAAGCTACTGTACTAGAAAAATGCAAACAATGTTTCTCAAACTAAAGTGGTGTTACCACATTTTGACAGAAGACAGCTGTAAACCATCTGCTTGGTAATTTGTGCAAATCACCATCTCTGTCATTCATAATTGCAGCATTCTTGTGGTAACTACAGCAACTACTTCCACTGCAAAGTACTGCAGTTGTGGCTGCCTTGCATTTATCAGCATTCATTACAGAGCCAACATCAAATGACCAGCAAGCTCTCTGCTGATTCCAATTTGGAGACTTCTGAAATAGTCTTCTTCCCACATAATTCAGAAAAAACCTTTTCATATATTCGGTATCATATCAGGTAATTAGCATTATATACGTATATCTATTATGTCTTTAAATACATTTTATAAATAAACTTCAACAGTGTGTTGTAAAGTAAGTAATGCATAAAAGTTTCACAATTTAAATAAATATTTTTCACATTCCAATTCAGCTTCTTACAAGCTCTTCTTTATTTCATGCCTTGGTTTTGAAGCAATGTTTCTGCTTCAATACAAGAGGTAGATTTGATAGAGACTGGGCAAGTCAAGCTTACTGCCAAAAATGCAACTGTCAGTAACTGTATTGCTGATATGAAGTTTGAGACTACATGAAAAATTCAGAACCACTACCTAAAATCCTACCAAGTCTTAGCTTAACAGCTCTTGTTAAATCACATTTAATGCTTTTAGACATGATTACTCACAGTTGTTTTCTGTACATAGGAGATAATGAAAAACACAAATACAAAACAGAGAACAGTTGTCTCTAACACAATATATGAAAGTGCATGAGTTGTTTCTTCATCTATTTCTGCAAAACATATTCAGCTTTTCCTCTAACTTTGGCCAGGAAGAAAAGACCTCTGAGAAAAAAAAGCAAACCAAAACCCAAACCGTACAAGTGTTTAAATTTTATGCTTATTCACTTCAGTAGTTCAGAGCTGGAAACCCTCCATCGGAGCCTCCTGCTGTTGAAACACAAACTGCTGCTGACTTTCATCCACCTGAGGTGCAATACTTGAGTCCTCTTCTTCAACACCAAAATAATGTTCTATAAGTTCAAAAGCCTTTTGATAGATCTCTTGGTTTTCATGCCTCTGAAGAAATTCAATTTTATCAAGTCCTAAATTTGAAAGAAAAAACATTTTCAAAAATCTAATTGCTTAAATGAATGATGATTTCAAAGAGAAACAGCTTACAGTATAGTGGTACTTCTTAGATAAAAAAATGCAAAACCAAGTCACCTCAATTCATTCAGTATCATTGATTGGTAATTTCCTAACCCACGTATTTCTACTTCATTTTCTGCTGTCCAAATCAATTTTAAAACTATGCTAAAAGCATATCAGTTAAACTGGGAAGGAGGCTGTAGTATCTTCAAAGAAATACGCCATGCCTATAAAAACATTGAATGTGTATAGAATTAGGACAGCATAAAACTGTTTGCTATAGCAATTTCTCATATGTCAATTTCTTTTCTTTTACTCTTTCCCCAACTCTAAATTCTATCTCCTATTATGGAGTCATCACTGGCACAGTCTGGTATCTTTTTTCAAATTTAACTGTGAGATTTGAAGATATTACCTTTCCAAGGGCTTATTGTTTGCAAACTTGAGGATGTAACCTCTGCTTTGTTGGCTGAATTAAGTCTTTGGCAGTCAGTTAGGTTGATACAAAATTGCTGGTTAGCTATTTTAAATAATTCAGTTTTCACTTAATTTGGATTAAGGCCAAGATAAAGGCCTCAGTTAAGAGGCTAAAGCAGTGAGGGTGATATAATAAGCTATTTTGCCTTCTTGAACTTATACTCTGCAGCTTCAGCAGCCTACGGTTAAGTAGTAAGGGAAAACAGACAACCTAGATATTCAACAGTTAAAATTATGAACGAACTCAAAATCTAGAACAGAATAAATTCCGATAAAGTATTCAGTACTTATTCCTCTTAAACATTAAATTGAAAAGTTCTTCAACTATGCACTTGATTTTAGAAATTAAACTCTGTAACAGGCAATTCAGATTCAAAGACTGCTTTACAGAAAAGTCAGTACTATCTAATCACATATAATGTGGTCAACTAGAACTGTTACTAGCAGTTTCTGAAATACAAATGTCTGCCAGTTTTGCTATGTCAGAGCTACAAAAAATAAATCTCCATAAATAATGCCATTTCATTATAAGTCAATTTTAACACTGATTTTGTTAAATCAAAAGCCTCCAGTCTTGGAATTCCACAAATTAGTTTTGACAGTCTGCCTTTAAAACATAGTTTAATTCAATAACTTCTATAAGAAGAACAAAA